GGTAAGGGAGGGGGTGGGGGCAGGGGGGAGAAATGAACCAAGCCTTGTATGCACATATGAATAATAAAAGAAAAATAAAATAAATAAATAAATAAATAAAAAAAAGTGCCTCCCAAAGCGAAATGCCTGACCAAGATCTGGCACCTCAACATCACAGACAGGGGAAATATGTTTAAGTTTACTGAGAGAGCATACTATGGATGGCACTGGCTGGGCTCCCACCAGAACGTTAAAGGATGTTGTTTGGGGATTAAACTCTTTATTTACTGATCTTTTGAATTTTGATGATCCACTGAACATTGAAGCTGCAAACATCATTTTCGAGATGAGGACTTCTGGAATAAAGTAGATGACTACATCAAGCCTTACGACAGACGATAAGAGGAGACAGTTGCAGGCCATGGACTATGTATCACAGTTTGTCTCTAATGTGAAACAGCATGAGGTAGCCCTGCTCCCCATCCTCACACTCCCTCAGCCCCATGGGATTGTCCCAGTCCTGTGACCATGTTGTCCTGAAGAAGACCATCCTTCTGACTGCCCACTGTAGATGGCGAATGCAACACAAATACAGCAAAAAAGTGTTTGGGCCTCTAAAGAGTTGTCTGCTTCCCTTACTGTGTTTACTCTCTTGAAATTATGCTGTCTAGGCTGCCAGTGAAATCCCTCAGAATTTGTAATGACCTCAACTTTGAGGCTAGCGCTTACCTCCCTTCCCCCAACAAATCAGTGTCCTGGGTAACTCACAGATTGGCAATAAGAAACCCGCTACAAACTGTGACTGGATGCACATTCTTAGCTTCTTCTGTGAATGTTGGCCCTGCCTAGATGTGAAGCTTCCCAGAATGCATTGCCATTCACTGTAGATCTTACTGAAATGCGTGTTTTATTTACCATAAGTGTATTTTGGAACAGATTTGTAATTTGTACAATTTAATGCTTTAATTATTTTTTTCTATTCTCATTTAGTTTGTATTTTCATTGTATAGAGCAGACACAAAGATGTTGGGTCAAGCAACTATTGAAGAGAAATACAAAGACACTATGAAAGACATAAAAAAAAAGAAGCTTTTGGTGCTGGCAATTTCAGATGACTTCAGAATATTATTTATCAAGGAAATTTATACCATTGCTAATTGTTTATGTCTTAAAAGAAAAATACCTTTAATGCCAAACCAACTTCCTTATTTTCCTCTGTATATGGAGGTTTCCAAAGTTGAATCCTGTCTTCCCTTAAAAACTGGGTCAATTTTGCTTGAAGATACTTCTTCTGTGCCATCCTTGAAAGCAAAATGTATATCAGCAAAACCCCACAACCCATTTTAAAATGTTTTACAACTCACCTAACACATCCAGATGTTTTGTACAGTAAGCAGAGATCCCCTCTACTCCCACTCCTTCTGGTTTACACTAAGCAACAAGGGTTTAACTAGGTGTAGACATTCTAAAAATATATACATAGACATATGTATTATGTATAATTATATATTGTGCATAATATAAAATATATATTACAAAGTTGCTAATATGTAGCAAGGATTATTATACCTCTCTGTTTTTTTTTCTTATAATTAAAAAAATTTTTTTTTGCAGTGCTGGAGAAAGAACCAAGGGTTTGTGCATGCTAGGTAAGCAGTCTTCCACTGAGCTACATCCCTACCCTCTATTTCTTTCTTCTTCTTTTTTTTTTTTTTTTGGCAGGGGAGAGGAGGTAGCAGTGCTACAGATGGAAAGCAGGGCCTTACAAGTGCTAGGCAAGTACTCTACCACTGAGTGGTATCCCAGCCCTACTTCTATATATATTATGTTACTGTAGTTCTCTAACCTAAGAGAAAAGACAAGTAAAGATAAATCTCTTATGTAACGACTCTTTAAGCAACGCAATATAGAGCTTAAAAAGTCTCTTGTACTTTGATTAGTTCAACTCAAAACAGAAGACCACCACTCTAGTAGCTAAACATAATGAAAAGCTAGCTTGAACTGCAAATTTATCAATAATAGTCTCTACTAATAATTTCTGAACTTTTAAAATAAAAGAGCTTACAACACCAAAAAAGTTTCTCATGGTATTTTGTTTATTATCATATTATTTGTGTACTGCAGGTATACTGTGACATTTATAAAAGTTCTTACAAAGTATCATAGTTGAATTCACTCCCTCTATCATTCTCCTTTATCCCACTCCCCAAAATGGTACTTTGTGATAGCACAATACCTACAAAAGCTATTCCAAACCAGCACTGGTTGGATCATCATTAACAGCTGAGAAAACTCAGGTCCCAGGTTTGTAAAACCAGTTGGCCAAGTTAACAAAATTAGCCAGTGCCATTACTAGCACTGAGACTTCTGCCTATAATAGTGGGCCCTGCACTCTGTCACACTATCCCTTGCTGCTTGTCACAGGTAAGTAATCTCTCTCTCCCAAAGAGGCACAAGTCACAGTGGAGCTTTTGACTCATTCCACACTAACACAGTGATTGCAAGGAGAGTGAGCGGCTGAGAGCCAAGCAGCTGGCAGGAGTAGTACAGTGCTTGGGATCTGACAAATCCTACAGGAGTAAGAAAAGTAAAAGGTTATTAGCTCTTGAATGATGAAGATGAGTTCCAGAGAGTGGAAAATATATGAATTAACATAACCTAGATCAACCTGTAAGTTTCTTTCTTTCTTTTTATCAAGGGCCAGTATTCTACATCCTCCCAAATCCTACTCACCTGATTTGCAAATCAAGTATGGTGGCTTAAGTGAATCCCACCAACACATGTTTTTAAAAGAAAGTTCAAATCTATTTTATGTCAGCTTGGGAGTGAGAAATAGGGAATCAGGGAGGGTGGAATAAACACAGTCAAGAAGGTGCTGTGTGCATCTCTGGTGACCCAGGAAAGAATCCTAGTTTTTGTTTTTTGTTTTCTTTTGTGTTTGTGGTACTGGGGTTTGAACTCGGTGCCTCACACTTATTAGGCAGACACTCTACCACTTGAGACACTTTTGAGCCACTCCACGGGTCCTCCTGGTTTTTCAAACTCTAAAAACTTACAGCAAAGCACATCACTACTTAGCTTTTCAAACACCAATAACTTAAAAGACCATTTTGCATACTACTCATAAGTCTTCAGAAGTGCTAAATAAAATATCATAGCAACCTCACTGGGAAGAGGGAAGGGATAATTTCATGGGCTGCTTCCTGGAGTCCAATTATTTGGAAGGCTGAAAACACAGCTCTCAGAGATCCTAACCAAGTCACTACCTGACAGAGGGCCTAAGGACCCAAATTTGTGTCCCACACTCCAAGGGGCAAATCAATAGCTGCAGAGTCTCCATCACACAAGATTTAGTATTTTTAAAAAACAAACCACTGCCTTGAAACTTACAAAAGTTCAGTTATAGACAACAGAATGACACATTAATCCAGTGAAAAGGAAAAAAGATTAAATTAGTTTTCTGTTCTAACTGGAGAACTGAAAGTTTGAAGGTTCACATTATAAAAGATGAACTCCACTAGTGTTACCGCTCCAAAATGAAAGCAAAACGTGATAAGCCAATCCTTTAAAAACTGCACTTTCACTTTTGTAATCAATCTGAGCTGCCTTTAGCCATAGCTTTTAACGACACATTTCACCTTAGGAAAATAAAGATGAACGAAAGATTCGTGTGCTTAAAAAATAAGAGAAAGATAGTGGGAAACAGTGAACCAGGTCGTCAAGGTTCTAGAAAACCAAGGGTTTTCTCACTAAATAGCAATCTGGCTTTGACTGCAAATCAGACCCAAATGGTACGTTCAGGACGAGTGTTACGATTTAACCATTTGTTGCGCTAATTACACTAAGAAGTATACAATGTATATACAATGTACTTATTCCTGCCTGTCTCCAGCAATAATGCGCTCACTCCTCTTTTAAATGCCCCACCACCCGGCCCAGACCAGCGCAAACCAAAGGGCCCAGAACGGCCAGTGCGTCCGGGAGTCCGCCGCCCTCCAGGCCCCCGGCTCCGCAGGACCGCTCACCTGACGCGTCCGGTCGTGCCGGGAACGACGTCGCCGGGCAGTGACAGAGGCCGGGGTTGGGGACGCCTGTCGCTACCCGCTCACCTGCGCCACAGCAGCGCCCGCTGCGACCTGCCAAAGCGCCCGGATGCAGTGGCCACCGTTTGTTTTCATTCCGGGTAAGGCCGTCCCCACCCCCGCTGCCGCGCAGCCCTCGCGCAGCCCAGAAGGAGGACTGTGGGCGGGGCCGAAAAGGGGCGTGTCGGGGCGGGGCTTAAGGGGAGGGGCTAAGGCGGAGGCCAGGCTGGGTGAAGATTGGGACTCTGGGTGGGTGGGGAAGGAGGCGGAGAGCACGGCCGGGGGTGGGGCTTCCTGGAGAGGCGGGGCTACGGCGGGGTAGGCCAGGGGCGGGGCGGTCCGTGGGTGGGGCTTGTTATTGGCAGAGGCGGGGCTGTGGTGGGGGCGGGACGATGGTGGGCAGGGCAGGCGAGGGTGGGGTGATAACAGCGTTGGGGCGGAGGTGAGGAATGGGAGGGGAGTGTGTGGGGGACGAAGGAGGAAGGTTGGGGTGGGGACCGAGACCCAAGCGAAATTGAATCTGGCTTTGTTTCTCTAAAGGCCTTGGAAGAGGCCAGAGCACATTGCAGGAAGACCTGTTTCCCCCGAGAAAGGGGTCTGGACCTACTAGGGCTGGAACAGCCCCGCACCCTTCCCGGTGGCTGAGCGCGAACCCCTAAACTGACGGATCCTTTCACTGCTTTTCATTCCGCCAGGGTTCTCCCCTCTCGGTGACATTAGGATGCTTCCCGGAATTCCCAGACCCTTGCCTCGCGCTCCCCTGCTACCGTCCCTCCTGATAGGTCCCTGACGTCATAGGGCGGGCGGAAAGTCCTGAGGTATCATTGAAACCAGGTCCCCTGGCCCATAACTGCTTGCAAAATCTCCCTGCTTGCAAAACCGCAGAAAACTTCCTGTTTTTCAACTAGCTGTAAGTACTGAGCCTTTCCACCTGGTGATCACTGACAATCAGGCCCCAACAACCCAGTTGTTCTCTGAAACAGATACCCTTCCCCCTTTGATGGATGGTCCCTCCTGTAACGCCCACCACCCAATCTACCTGGGCTGCTGCACTCTGAACACGAGAGTCAGCCCGGCAGTCTGGCCCCCAATAAATCTTTCCTTTCTACGTGGTGCGGTCCCTGTTCTGCAGTTCCTTACACCTCCTATCACCACTATGAACGACAGTGTCTGCGGCTCTGCCCCTCGCTGTGCAGTGGTAAATACCAATAAACCCACGAACTAGCAGTTCCTTATGTCTAGGTGAGGAAATGAAATAAACCAACTAGTCATAAAAAAAATAAGGGCAAGTTGCAAAATTCTCTGAGAACCAGGGCAACCCCCCAGTGGTTGAGTACAGAGATGTGAGCCCTTTGGAAGGTAGACAGAGAAAGTAAGATAGAGTACATCTCATTCCCCCTGGGTAAGGCTGTTGGCCCCATCCTCTCTAACTCCAGTTACCCATCCTTGGACCCACTCTTTCATAGGGGAGCTTGAAAGCATAAGTTCTACCCACAAGCAGCTGGCTCCTACCAGCGCCTGAGGTAGGGGGTGGGAGCTGTGCAAGTCTATCTCAAACGGATGTGTGCGATGTGACATCCAGTGAAATTATCATGCAAAGACCCATTAAATACTGCTTTTATTAAGATAGCTCCACTTAAGCAAATTAGTCTTGGGGGGGGGGTTGTTTGTTTTTTGTTTTTTGAGATTTTAAAGAGTATGGTTGTAAGATCCTGGATATAGATGGCTCAGTTAGCAATGTCCAGTTCCAGGAATATGGGTGAGACCACAATGGAGTGGAGCGAGATGGAGGAGTACAATAAGGATGTTATTGAGCTAGTCCGGGCATGCAGTGGTTACCTGGATCTGTCTGTAGAGGAAGAAAAGGAAAAGGAAGAGAGAAAAATGTGAAAACTCTACAATGTATAAAAGGTCACCCATGAGAGATGAAGAGGAGTTTGTTCCAGGCATGGGAGGCTTGATGATGGCCTGACATGCTTTCTAAGTGCTGTGCTAACTGGAGTGTACCCAGGAGGAGTTGGGTTATTAAGTGATTGCTAAGCCTGTGTACTTGCCAGGAGGAGTTCTCATGGAAGGAATTAGGAGGTGATCCTTCAGGCAGATCTGATACTATTTCCAAAATATTTTGTGGAAACTGAAGAAGAGTGCAGAATAGTACTCATTGCCCAGTAATTTTCCACTGTTCACTACATTTTTAGCAGATAATATAAAGAAGTGAGGTCCAGCTGGGTGCAGTAGTTCATGCCTATAATCCTAGCTACTTGGGAGGTGGAGCTTGGTGAAGATGGTAGTTTGAAGCCAGCTTGGGGAAAAAGTTGGAAAGACCCCATCTAAATCAATAAGTTTGTCATGGAGGCACTTGCCTGTGCACAGGAGGCATAAGTAGGATGATCAAGTTTTAGGCCAGCTGGGGCAAAAACTCAAGACTCTTAAAATATATAACTAAAGCAAAAAAGGGCTGAGGTGTGGCCTAAATGGTAGAGGGCCTGCCTAGCAAGCGTGAGGCCCTGAGTTCAAACCCCAGTACCACCACAAAGAAAAAGAAAAAGGAAAAAGAAGTGAAATCCTAGCCAAGCAAATAGTACCCTATGATCCCAGCACTTGTGAGGCTGAGGGAGGAAGATTGTGAATTTGAGTCCACCTTGGGCCGTATAGAGAGACCTTGTCTCAAGAAATAATAAAATAATAAAAAATAAAAACCCTTTGAATCTGGGTTGGCCTACTGATTTACATAGGCCAAAGGGGCCTTAATTAGTAAATGTGATACAAGCAAAGATTTGGGGGCTCCGGGGTGGCCCTCTCTTGCTGCAGATGCCATGTGAAAGAGCCCCAGCTAACCTGTTGGAGCATGAGCTCCAACAGGGAGCTCATGGAGGAAAAAAGGAACCCTAGTAAGAACCTACCAATCACCAGACATGCCAGTAAAGCTATGCCAGACCATTTGGCTTCCAGCTGCCCACAGACACTTGGGAGCACAGACCAGCTGAATCAACCCAGAATAAACTGGTTATTATCTTAAGTGTCAGGCTTGGGAATAGTTTGCCATGTAGCAAAGCTCAGACAGAACTCATTATCAAGGAAAGTCAGCTACACCAGGTCTTATTTATTAGACTGAAACAGTTGGCCGTTTTCTAACAGTAACTGTAAATAATTTTTATCAGTTTAAATAAACAAACAAGATCACTTGCCAGTTTGTTTCTTTGTGACTAAGTAACAAACACTTTGCGAAGTACAACTTGATCCTTTCCCTGCAGATAGGACAACATACACATCTTTCTATAGCTCTGTCGTTACTATATGATTTTAAAGTTTCTCTGTAGTTACAATAACTTGTGCTTTTACTTTTTAAGCGGTTTTATTGAGATATAATTCATATACCTTACAATACACAAATTTGAGCTGTACAATGTTTTTTAGTATATTCAAAGAGTTGTATATCCATCACCACAAGTACTTTTAAAACACTTTCACCTCCCCCTTAAAGAACTTGTACCCATTTGCAGTCACTTCTCATTTTCCCAAATTCTCCAACCTAGGCACACCACCCCTTACCCACTTGCCTTCCTCCTGGCTCCTGGCAGCCACTAGGCTACTTTCTCTTTCCATGGAGTTGCCTCATTTGGATGCTTCATAAAATGGTGTCAAATAACATGTGGTCTTTTGCAATTGGATCCTTTCACTGAGTATTATGTTTTCACTGTAGCATGTTTTAGTACTTTATTACTTTCTATTGCCAAATAATATTCTATTGTATGAGTACACCACATTTTGTTTATCCATTCATTAGTTCATGGACATTTGGATTGTTCCCACTTTGGGAACGTTATGACTAATGCTTCTGTGAACATTAGTGCACAAGGCTTTTCATGGGAGAGCATGTTGTCAGTTCTCTTGGGCATTTGACTAGGAAGGCAATTACATATGGTAACTGCATTTCATCTCTTGAAGGATTGCCAAACCATTTTCCACAGCAACTGTGTCTCTTTATGTCCTCACGTCCAACATGTAAGGGTTCCAATTTCTACACATTGTCACCATCCTAGTGAGTGCAAGTGGCATATCATCGTGGTTTTGAGTCACATTTCCTTACTGACTAGTGGTGCCGAGCGTCTTGTCACCTGCTTAGTGGCCGTTATCTTTGTTGGAGAAATGTCTATTCAGATCCTTTGCCCACTTAACAATGAGTTCATTGTATTTTTATTACTTATATCTTATTATTGGGCTTAAGAGATTTTCATATATCCTAGATCCCAGTCCTTTATAAGACATATGATTTGCAAATGGCTTCTCCCATGGAGTGGGTTATCATCTCACTTCCTTGATAGTGTCTATCAAGAAGCACGAAAATTTTAAATTACAATGAAATCCAACTTGTCTATTTTTTCCTCGTCAGTTGTGCTTTTGGTGTCACTAAGAAACCGTTTCGTAACCCAAGATCATGAAAATTTACTTATTGAGTTGTATAGTTTTTGGTCATTCATTTATATCTAAGATTCATCTCTAGATGATTTTTGTATATGGTATGAGACAGGAATTCAACTTCATTCTTTTGCATGTGGCTATCCAGTTGTCCCAAAGCCATTTGTTGGAAAGTTTCTCCCCCCTCCCCCAACACACAATTGAATTATCTTAGTGCCTTTGTTGAAAATCAAGTTGCCCTAAACATGACGGTTTGTGTCAGTTGCCTTTCATCCATCTATACATCTGCCCTTGGGCCAGGAGTGTCTGGATTACTGTAGTAAAATCTGAAAACTTGGAAGTATTATTTTCTCAAACTATTTCATTCTTTGTTCTTTTTCAAGATTGTTGTGACTACTTGAGTCACTCGCATTTCCATAGGAATTTAGGGATCGTCCTGCTAATTTCTGCAAAAAAAATTTTTTTTGAGAGATTACATTGAATCTATATGTATTTCACTTTTCTTGGCTTAACCAAAGCTACGTTTAACCAAAATCTCTTACTCAATTCATCTTGTTACTGAGCGTGGTATTGCATGCCTGAAATCCCAGCTACTCAGGAGGCAGAGACAAGAAAATAGAGTTCAAGGCTAGCTTGGGCAAAATGTTACCAAGATCCTGTCTCAAAAACAAGGCAGGCATGGTGGCACACTTCTGTGATCCCAGCTACTTGGGAGGCAGAGGTAGGAGAATCAAAATCAAGGCCAGCCCAGGCAAAAGTTAGCATGAGACCCTATCTGAAAAACAAACTAAAAGCAAAAGGATTGGGGTATGGATCAAGTTGTAGAGTGCCTGCCTAGTGAACATGAAGTCCTGAGTTCAATCCCCAGTACTGAAAAAAGATCATCTTGCCTACTGTTTCTCCTCTATAACAAATTGTACAGTTCAGATAAATTGGTTTGCCCTTACTTCAGCACATGAAGTTTGCATATTCAACTCCACAACTAAGTATTTAGTGCTTATGATATAAATCAGGGGAGGTGTTATAGTTTGAACATGAAGTGTCCCACAAAAGCCCATATGTGGAAGGTTTAATACCTGAGGCAGCAGTGTAAAGAAGAAGAACTTTTGCGAAGACTGGATCATGAGGGCTGTGACTCCATCAGTGGATTAATCCACTGATGGAGTCATAGTTGGACTGCATTATGGGAAAGTGGTAGAAAGTAAAAGATGGAGAGAGTAGGTCACTGGGATCATGTCCCAGAAAGATATATCTTATCCCAGGCCTCTTCCTGTCTCTCTGCTTCCTGGCCTCCATGAGGTGAGTGCCTCCTCTGTCACCATGATGCTTTGTCTGACCACAGGCCCACAGCAATGGAGCCAGCCAACCATGGACTAAAAACTCTGAAACTATGAGCTAAAATAAACCTTTCTTCCTCTTAATTTGTTTCTCTCAGTTGTTTGTCCCAGTGATGAAAAGTCAGGAGGTGATTTTGAAGAGCAAGACAGAGAAAAGAAGAAAGGCAAAGAGATTAGGGGGGGGGAAAAGATCAGATTCTCAAGAAAGAGGTTTCCAAAGTACTTTAGAGTAAGCCAACTTAATTCAGAACCAAAAAATTATGGGGGAAAAAAATTAAGCATTGTTCATTTTAAGTGTTCATGAGGATATAGGGAGATGGAAATTTTTATAAAAGTGTTGGAAGTAGAAATTGATGCAAACACTTTGAAGAATTTAGTGTGTAGAAAATCTTAAGACTGCATGTGTAATCTAACACTATTTTATATTTATCTACACATGCATACATATATGTATAGATACATGTAAATATATGTACATACATGTGTGTATGTATAGATAGACAGATATCTGTGTGTCATGGACTGTTGGCAAGTCTTTGGATTCCTATCAAGATGCCTCCCAGTGCTGATGTATGGATCAAATAAACATTACAAGACCATCCTAGCCACACATGGCATGAAATTTACTTGGAAGGATACAGAACAGTGCTATGAACTGAATGTTTGTGTCTCCTCCACCCCATCCCCTAAAAGAAGTTTGTATGTAGAGATCCATCTTCCAAGGTGATGGTGTTGGGAGGTAAGGCCCTTGGGAGGTGGTCAGTTCACGAGAGCTCTGCGTTATGAACTGGATTAGTGCCTTGGTAAAAGAGGCCTGAGATAAGCACCTCCTTGAGTCCACCATGTGAGGACACAGCACAAAGACACTGTCTATGAATCAGAAAGTGCCTCTCACCAGACTGAATCTTCTAGTGCCTCAACTGTGAATGTGCCCAAAACATTTTTGTTGTTTCTAAGCTACTTGATTGAAGGTGGTTTTTGTTAAAGCATCACTTTGTACTAAGACAGCCCATAGAGCAGCACAGGGTGCTCTTGGCAGGAGGAGTGTTTAGGGAGGTCTATGGAGCCATCCACAGTGCTCTGCACTTCTCTCTCCACCCTAGGCCGGTGGCACAGGGGCAAGGAAAACAGACTTTCAGAAGACAGGTTCAAGAACTGCCCTGACTTAAAGGGTCACCCCCACAGCCCACATGTCTCTTTCAAGGAATCCATGACTTCCCACTCCTTGCAAGGGACATATCTAATTATAAATGCTACTCTGTGCCAGGACAGCCCAGGAGTGGGGTCCCCACCAGTTCTCTAGAATGTATTTGTAGTTTCTTCCAGTCCAGGTGGGATTTAGCAACCAGGGACATTTGCCATAAGCAGTGTCCCTTGTAACACAGCTCACAGGCTACCTTTATCAGATTTCCCAAGGAAAGGGCTAGAAAGTTAAACCTCATGCAGGAGGGAGCATTCTGTTAACCATGGACCCACAGATTCAGAACCAGTGGAGTGGTTCTCAAGTAGTGTTCTCTTTTAATTTTATTTTGAAGGAAGTGGACTAAAGATGAGAGCACACCACGTGCAGTGAGGACAAGAGCTATTTTACAGGCTTTAAAGTGTTTACATATAATTGTCTATCATGGAATAGATAACTACACCGTGACATATCCATGCAGTGGAGTACTTTACGTGATATACCAGTTTAAAAGAATGCATGGAAAGGTTGATTGCAGTGGCTCATACCTATAATCCCAGCTACTTGGGAGGCAAAAATTGGGAGAATCATGGTTTGAGGCCAGCCCAGGCAAAAAATTTGTGAGACCCCCCATCTTAGCCAATAGCTGGGTGTGATGGCATGTTGTTCCAGCTACACTGGAAGCATAAAGAGCAGGATTAAAGTCCAGGACAGCCTGAACATACACATGAGATTCTGTCCCAAAAATAACCAAAGCATAAAGGGCTGGAGGATATGGCTCAAGCAATAGAATGCCTGGCTAGCAAGCACAAGGCCCTGAGTTCAAACCCCAGAACCATTACAAAAAGAAAGAAAGAATAAATAAGTATACAGGCTGAGTGTGGTGACTCATATCTGTAATCCCAGCAGAGAGGGAGAAGATTGTGGCTGGAAGCCAAACCAGTCAGGAGGTAAAGGTAGGAGGATCAGGTCCAAGATCACAGACCCTATCTTAAAAAAACTAAACTAAAGCAAAAAGGACTGTGGATGTGGCTCAAGTAGTAGAGCACCTGTGTAACAAGCACAAGGCCTGAGTTCAAACCCCAGGCCCACCAAAAATGGGGAGAGAGTAATGGAGTACTTACAACTACTAAATACTACATATAAACCTACAAATCCATGCTGAGAGAAGCCATTCACAGAAGGCCACATATTGTAGGGCTCCATTTTTATGAACTGTCCAGGGAAGATGAACCCATAGAAACAGAAAGTAGGTTAGTGGTTGCCAGGGGCTGAGGAAGGGATTGAAGTGACTGACAATGGCAATGGGACTTTCTTTTTGACATCATGACAATGTTCTAAGTTAGATTCTGGTGATAATTGCACAACTCTGTGAACATGCTAACATCTCTGAATTGTACGCTTATTTAAAAGGGTGAGTTTTATAGCATGTGATTTATATGTCAGTAAAGGTGTTATTAAAATAAAGGCAGTGGACTGGAGGAAACAGGCTGTCTACTCCATTTATGTCTGTTGTAATAAAGTGCCAGGGACTGGGTGATGTATAAAGAAAAGAGATTTGTTTCCCCCAGTTCTGGGAGCTGTAAGTCCAAAATCATGATTCAGGCAAAGGCCTTCTTTCTGCCTCATCCCATGGTAAAAGGAGAGAGGGTAAGAAAGGAAATGGGCCAAATGCATTCTTGTATCAGGAACCTGCGTGGAAGATAGCAGCCTTAATCCATCTATGAGGGCAGAACCCTCGTGACCTAATCGCCTCATAAAGTTCCCACTTCTCAAAATAGCTTCAATGGTGATTAATTTTCCAGCACATGGACTTTGGGGCATGTGGGGAGTGGATTAAAGCCTTTGAGAACTGGACACAAGCAAGGCAAGATGCAGTTCATTGCTTTTATCTATAGGCTGAGATAGGCACAGCCCTGCCCACGAAACAGGGAAAGGCAGAACAGCTGTGTCCCCTAAGTTGTGTTCAGAGAAGCAGGAACGCAGGTTTCTCCTGTTGCAATGTCATGCCCTTCCCCTGCTCCGCCCTGTTTGCTGCTATAAAAGACCCCTGAAGGAGGAAGAGGGCCATTTTGCTTTTGCCTTTTGGGGCTTTACTTTGGGCTTTTTGGCCTGGGAAGCTTTTGGAAGGGAAAAGAATTGTTGAAGGAAAAATTGCTGAAGGGAAAAGGGAAAAATTGCTGAAGGGAAAAGAATTATTGAAGGGAAAATGCTAAAGAGGGGTTGATAGAAAGTCTGCACCGAGAACTTTAAC